GTCTGCTGTTTCCCTCCATTTTAGCCCCCCAAAACAAAGGAAACATGGGGAAATTAGGTTAGTTGCTCAGCAACAGCCTGTGCACTCCTCCTTCCCTCCCCTCTCATGCCAGCTCCTCCCGGGACCTTTATAAGTTTTGGTAGGGAGGCTGCATGGGTCTTCTCCTCTAGGACTGCTGGACTAGAAGCTGCGCTGAGGCCGGTTTCTGTCTGTGGATTCAAAGGAATACGGACTTAACCCTGCCTGTTCTGCTCCACTGCGAGGTCTGCTGGGCTCTGTTGTTCCTCCCTATCTACTGCTGAGGTCTGCTGGGATCTGTTGTTCCCCCTGCCGTCTACTGCTGAGGTCTGCTGGGATCTGTTGTTCCTCCCTAATGACTGCTGAGGTCTGCTGGGATCTGTTGTTCCCATGGCTGTCTACTGCTGAGGTCTGCTGGGATCTGTTGTTCCTCCCTGTCTACTGCTGAGGTCTGCTGGGATCTGTTGTATTACCCTTACTGGATGTGCTCATACTGTGCCTGGTTACCTGTTGGATTACCCCTTGCTGCACCTCTGACCCCGGGACTACTAGCATTGTGACTCTGGACTTATTCCTTCCTGTGCCATTTGCCTACTTTCTGGTTTGACCCTTCCAGTGGCCTGCAAACCCTCAGGACCTAACCCCGGCCTTTGTACCTTGCTTTGTATACCTGAATTCCCCAATAAACACCCACACGCCGGGTTCCGTGTGATTTGTATCTGTGTATTCTCTCTCTATGCTCCTAGTTTGTCACACACACACATCTCGTCTTAAAGCAATGTTTTGGGCCACTCACGGTCCCTTCATCAGGCATGACGTCATGCCTGATGAAGGGACCCCGAAACGTTGCTTTATGACGAGATGTGTGTACATCAATAAAATGACCACTCATGGAAGACTTTACTTTGGTGTGCTGGTGATATACTTTACTATTTGGAGTGGCGCCATCCACTATCACTGCAGCACCCACTTTAAAAAGGGACATACCAGTAAGGAGTGCGGTGGAAACCTCTTTGGAACTTCAGTAGAAATTGAGATGCAAACCAGATTTTATGTTTCCGGGCTTTTGTTGTCCATGTTTAGTTAACAAGTGCCCACTGCATCCTCACCTTTCTTTTCTTGGCTGTTCTAGGCCTCAATCTTCGACATGTTGTGCTTTCTGAGATGCTTTTATGCTTACTAGAGTTGTAAAGAGTGCTTTATTGAAGCCTTTCTGCCAGCTTAAACCAGACTGACCAATCTCTTTTGTTTGATCTCTTTGATCAACTAAGCGTTCCTGTCTGCAGAACCCCCATTTACTAGATGTTTTTCACATCATTCTGAGTAAACTTTATACTGTTGTGCGTGAAAACCCCAGATGATCAGCAGTTACTGAAATACTCAAACCAGTCTGTCTGGTACCAACAATCATGCCACGGACAAAATCGGCCAAAATCAGAGAGATCACACTTTTTTCCCTATTCTGATGTTAATTGGAGCTGGTCTCAAGTCTCTACTCCCCTGGTATGGGCTTACCCTCTGTTCCACCGGAAAAAAACAAAACTTAGTCCACTTTTATGTTTAACTCGTTATACTGAATAGAAAGTTGTACACAAACAGTTCAATAGTGAAATATTGTTCCATATTTGATTATACAGTTGTATAAAGCCTAAAGAAGGGATCTAAGGCATCCCGAAAGTGTTATTAAAGGAGAACTATGAGGGGAGTGCTTTTCACTCCCCTCATAGTTCTAGCCGACCTGTAACAATGAGGCTGTCACAGGTCGGCTCAGTAGATCGGGAGGTGAGCGAACACATACCGGGTTCGCTCGCCTCTCGATCCTGTCACGGCTCTCTGCTGTGACAGGGGGAGGGGCTGGATTCCCCTCTCCCCGCTCCGATCTGCCAGCACTGACTGGCGGAACGGACGGGGGAGGGGGCGGGTACAGCTGGCTCTGCACATTTTTATTAGTTCCTAGGACACTGTCAGCTGCACATCTCCTTTGATTGCTAGGACACTGTCAGCTGCACAGCTCCATAGGTTCCTAGGACACTGTCAGCTGCACCGTTTCATAGGTTCCTAGGACACTGTCAGCTGCACCGTTTCATAGGTTCCTAGGACACTGTCAGCTGCACCGTTTCATAGGTTCCTAGGACACTGTCAGCTGCAGAGCATCATTGGTTGCTAGAGCACTGTCAGCTGCACCGTTTCATAGGACACTGTCAGCTGCACCGTTTCATAGGTTCCTAGGACACTGTCAGCTGCAGAGCAACATTGGTTGCTAGAGCACTGTCAGCTGCTCAGCTTCATAGGTTTCTAGGACACTGTCAGCTGTACAGCTTCATTGCTTCCTAGGACACTGTCAGCTGCACAGCTTCATTAGTTGCTAGGACACTGTCAGCTGCAAGGCTTAATTAGTTGCTAGGACACTGTCAGCTGCAAGGCTTCATAGGTTGCTTGGACACTGCCAGCTGCACAGCTTCCTAGGACACTGTCAGCTGCACAGCTCTCCTGGATGGGAAGGGGGTTTAACACCGCGGATGTCAACTGGTTAAGCTAGGACACTATTGGCTGCACAGCTTCATAGGTTGCTAGGACACTGTCAGCTGCACATCTCCATAGGTTCCTAAGACACTGTCAGCTGCACCGTTTCATAGGTTCCTAGGACACTGTCAGCTGCACAGCTTCATTGGTTGTTAGGACACTGTCAGCTGTACAGCTTCATTGGTTCTTAGGACACTGTCAGCTGTACAGCTTCATTGGTTGTTAGGACACTGTCAGCTGTACAGCTTCATTGGTTGTTAGGACACTGTCAGCTGTACAGCTTCATTGGTTGTTAGGACACTGTCAGCTGTACAGCTTCATTGGTTGTTAGGACACTGTCAGCTGTACAGCTTCATTGGTTGTTAGGACACTGTCAGCTGTACAGCTTCATTGGTTGTTAGGACACTGTCAGCTGTACAGCTTCATTGGTTGTTAGGACACTGTCAGCTGTACAGCTTCATTGGTTGTTAGGACACTGTCAGCTGTACAGCTTCATTGGTTGTTAGGACACTGTCAGCTGTACAGCTTCATTGGTTGTTAGGACACTGTCAGCTGTACAGCTTCATTGGTTGTTAGGACACTGTCAGCTGTACAGCTTCATTGGTTGTTAGGACACTGTCAGCTGTACAGCTTCATTGGTTGTTAGGACACTGTCAGCTGTACAGCTTCATTGGTTGTTAGGACACTGTCAGCTGTACAGCTTCATTGGTTCTTAGGACACTGTCAGCTGTACAGCTTCATTGGTTGTTAGGACACTGTCAGCTGTACAGCTTCATTGGTTGTTAGGACACTGTCAGCTGTACAGCTTCATTGGTTGTTAGGACACTGTCAGCTGTACAGCTTCATTGGTTGTTAGGACACTGTCACCTGTACAGCTTCATTGGTTGTTAGGACACTGTCAGCTGTACAGCTTCATTGGTTGTTAGGACACTGTCAGCTGCAAGGCTTCATAGGTTGCTTGGACACTGCCAGCTTCCTAGGAAACCGTCAGCTGCACAGTTTCATAGGTTGCTGGGACACTGTTGGCAGCACAGCTTCATTGGTTGCTAGGACACTGCCAGAAGCAAAACTTCATTTGTTGTTAGGACACTGCCAGCTGTCCAGCTTCATAGGTTGCTGGGACACTGCTATCTGCACAGCTTCATTGGTTTCTAGGACACTGTCAGCTGCACAGCTTCATTGGTTGTTAGGACACTGTCAGCTGTACAGCTTCATTGGTTGTTAGGACACTGTCAGCTGTACAGCTTCATTGGTTGTTAGGACACTGTCAGCTGTACAGCTTCATTGGTTGTTAGGACACTGTCAGCTGTACAGCTTCATTGGTTGTTAGGACACTGTCAGCTGTACAGCTTCATTGGTTGTTAGGACACTGTCACCTGTACAGCTTCATTGGTTGTTAGGACACTGTCAGCTGTACAGCTTCATTGGTTGTTAGGACACTGTCAGCTGCAAGGCTTCATAGGTTGCTTGGACACTGCCAGCTTCCTAGGAAACCGTCAGCTGCACAGTTTCATAGGTTGCTGGGACACTGTTGGCAGCACAGCTTCATTGGTTGCTAGGACACTGCCAGAAGCAAAACTTCATTTGTTGTTAGGACACTGCCAGCTGTCCAGCTTCATAGGTTGCTGGGACACTGCTATCTGCACAGCTTCATTGGTTTCTAGGACACTGTCAGCTGCACAGCTTCATTGGTTCCTAGGACACCGTCAGCTGCAGTTTCATAGGTTGCTAGGGCACTGTTGGCTGAATGGCTGCACAGCTTCATTGGTTGACAGGACACTGCCTGCTGCACAGCTTCATTGGTTTCTAGTACACGGTCAGCTGCACAGCTTCATTGGTTGATAGGACACTACCAGCTGCCCAGCTTGATAGGACCCTGCCAGCTGCACAGCTTCATTGGTTGATAGGACACTGCCAGCTGCACAGCTTCATTAGTTTCTAGGACACTATTCACTGCACAGATCATAACAACCAATGATGCTATGTGGCTGGGGGCTGAACCAGCATGGAGGACAGGAAATCCGGTATGGACATTCCATGCTCAGTGCTTCCTCCCACTTTGCCTCCTTGTCACAGATTCGTGTTTGTGTTACATGAATGTGTCACATGGAATACCAGTTGTCACACATGCATGCTCCAGAGTTTGTAAACATGTCTTCCAGTCTTTCTGAATTCCACATTGTGTGTTCTATCAATGGCCGAAGGCAGGGAAAGGTGGATGGATGAAACTAGCTCTCGGTTTACTTTCTCATCGCCTGCACAGAGTTCTATTACCGGGCTCCGTACAACGAACGCTCAAACAAGCCGCGCTCTGCAAGCAGCGTGACGTCACACACCCCGCCCTTCTCCCGGTTAGACCTACTTCCGCTACGTAGTCCACCAATCAGTGCAAGGTTCATGGAAAGATGGCGGCGCTGTGATAGCGGGCTGTGACTTATTGACTCTAACTCGGCCCGTGTTACCGGCGAGCGGTGTGTACGGGCGCTATGGCGAGCCGGAAGAGGCAGGTGGCCGAGAAGGCCCGGCGGACATGTGAGGAGGAGAGGAAAGAGCTGGGAAGCCCTAACAGGGAGAACCCGGGCAACAGCAGGAGCAAAAAGTTGAGCCGGGGCCCTAAAGTTGTCGCTGCCTGCCTGTCCAGCCCGGCCTCTACCCCTGTAGCCTCCAGGAAAGAGAAGGAGGGTAATGGAGGCTTCTGATGTGTATTGTGTATAGTACAGGCTCAGATGGAACTGTAAGGCCTACTGCACACTTCGTTGTTGGTGTCACTGGTTACAGAATCTCTAAGATGTACAGAGAAAATACACACTTGGTTGCATGTGTCGCTCCCTTGCCAATGGAAATGCTTCAGAATGTTGTCATTAGTGATGTGTGGGGGCTCGATGTGAACCCAGTTTGCACAAACCTGTGCAAAACTGTTACTGACATTCCCCTGGCCCAATCAGATGCAGCAGGACTATTCCCCTCCCCTTAGTGATGTGCAGCTGCACAGCAGGGAATGTCCATGGCCACAACTAATGGAAGTGGGTCAGTCACAGTTCTGCACAGGCTTGGGAGAACGCCTGCAAACTGGGTTCAGACCAAGCCACCAGAGATCACTGGTCGCCAGCTGTGGGGTGACGCATGGAAACGGGTGGGTATTTTTCAGCCCAGCGGTTTTCTGCCTCTGGTGAGTTGTCACAAGCGATGAGATCACTTATGTGCCATAACCCTAAGTCGGCTGTGGGCAAACTCCAGCTGGTGTGGAACTACACATCCCATGAGGCATTGCAAGATTCTCACAGGCATGACTCCCAGAGACATGCATGATGGGATTTGTAGTTTCATCGCAGCTGGAGAGCCGGCGTTTGCCCACCCCTGCCCTAAGGGATATGCCACACAATCCTTTCACTTGCAACAGCTCGCTAGCCATAGGATCACATCAACTGATGGGTAAAAAAAAAACCTGCACTCGCAAGGGGAACCGTCCATCCGATACTTTATTTGCAAGAAGGCATAAAAACAAACAAATGCTTACATGTTTCAGCCCCTAAACTGGGCCTTAGTCGTGGCCCTTTACTGGTCCTTAATTCTAGCCTACCATTAAGGCCCAGATTGGGGGCTGAAACATGAAAGCATTTGTTTGTTGCTTTTATGCCTTCTTGCAAATAAAGTATCGGATGGACTGATACCCCTTGCGAGTGCAGGTTTTGTACCTATTGCTCAGTGAAGGCTCCGGCGGAAGCTTTATCAGGCACCAAGGTTCAAGCAGTGGGATTAGAGACGAAAGAGTAGAGCTGCTCCTTGTTGCTTAATTGCACAACAACTGATGTCAGATGAATGATTCTGGAGCAAAGATTTATTACTAATGACAGTGATTTGCAGCTGAATTACTGGCGGTTTGTCTGAATTAGTGCCATGGCATTGGGTTGGTATTCTCTGCTGCAAATGGTACTACTTCAGTGATTTGTAGCTCGGGTGAACAAAGAGCGATTATCGTTAAAATGTTGCTTAAACTCAATGGCTGAGCTGCAAATCACTGATAATTTGACCAGTTAGGAATTCTAGAGAAAATAAGTTACTAGAGAAGTGGGGGGGGGGGGGGGGGGGGGATTTTAACTCAGCCTTATAATCTGACCCGGCCTGTGACAATGAGACTGTTGTGTCACTGCAAATAAATTGATTTTCTGGCTTCAGCCTGAAGTACCTGTTGCTATGGAGTCACTTCCTTGCAACTCCCTTGTTAGCAAAGGACATTTGGCGGTGTATTGTGTCAGTAGGGGAGTGATTCCATAGTGGTAAGTGGGCACCTCCAATGGGTAATTCGCCCTGGTCACATGGCCCTTAAGCACATCTTACACATTGCTATCTGATTTTACGATCTCCTATAGATCTTCCAACAACAATGCTGTGCAAGGGCCTGGCAGGATACAAATTAGATAGATTAGGTAAGTTCTCGCATCACGTAGTTTTGGTAAATCTAAAGTTGATTGCATGGTCAGATTGTAACGTGTATGGTAAAGCCCCTTTCACACGGGCCAGGCGGACCCGATCGGATGTCCAATGCAAGTCTATGGGCAGCCTTGTCTAAATAAACAGGTGTCCGTTTACACCAGGTTACCAGCGACTCTTGGCGGGTCCGGAGAAACAGACCTATCAGAGGTCCATTTTGCCACGCCTGATCGTGCCAGATCGAAGGTAATCTGATGGCAATAGGCACGTGTCCATTTACATCCGATTCCCTATAGACAGACAAGTGGTCCGGTAACTGCAGTTATTGGTGACATGCGCTCCGTACTGCTGTGATCAGAAGAGGATCTGTGCATGGATCCCCGCCTGATTAGCCTGTGTGAAAGGGGCCTTACCTTTACAGTCTGATTGTACAATCTCTTTTAGGTCTGCCAGCAACTATGTAGTGCAAGGGGCCGCTGCTAAATACAAACTTATTGGATAATTTAGATAGGTTCTCGTGTAGTACTATAGGTCCTTATGGTTTTACTGAATGTAAAGCAGATTGCACAGTCCGATTGTAACCTGTATTGTGAGCTTTAGGCTGGTCTTATGCACACACCTCACTAAGACCCAAAGGAGTCAGACGTAACCCATAGTTCCCAGTTGTCCTTTAAACCAAATTCCCCTTTCTATTATTCATCTTTTTGGCCCACTGTATAAACTTCTAATAAAAAAAAATACAATTTAACTCAAAATTAGTCAAAGTTATACAAAACATCGGAAAGTGCAATCACCCAGCATTGCCCACCACAGTCATGGCCCATATTTGTCTGTCTGCAGACTTTCAGAGTCAGCTTGGTTCAGAGAAGACAATAGCAACTGATAAGGTTTTAGTTCTCATCTAATGGTTCTTTCACCTAAATTCAGTTGGCAGATTCTGCCAGAAAGTGTGCCAGCACGCTTTTTGCGCGTTCAGCTTTAAAAGAAACATGTTCAGAGTGGAATATGTAAACTGCCACTGCTGACATTCATATTAACATGCATATTGCCTTCCTCCCAATCTGATCTTCAGACTTCAGTTCTTTGAGTGACAGACCTGCAGCAAGTGTGACAATCAGGATTTCTGACTTCTGGTATACCTGATTTGGGCCAGTGACTTATAATACAGTCAGAGGATCAACACGCAAACTAGCGTTTTGAGGAGGTTGGCAGTGGAGGCTCGCTTTCTTTCACATACTTTTGAGACAGTGACTTTGGTCACCAGCTTACAGAAGCTAAATAAATTAGCATGCTGCCTGGAAGAAAGTCCTGATGCCTGACTTGTTGCTCATGCCACCGTTCTCTGTATTCAGGTGATACCACAGCTGAAGAATCTTCAGCTTTTGGCACATTCAGTTGTCCGATGCCTAATTATCTGCTGCACTCTGTTGTTCCTTCTGCTGGCCCCTATGTCACTATTGTGTCCTGCAGGGGTTGGTGAGAGGAATAGAGTACAGATGGGGACCAGAAATCTGTTGTTACCGGAGGTAGCGGATGCTGAATATTTTTCGAGCAGCAGTATCTGAGTACAGAGTAGAATGACCGTTAAGCAATAATAGACTGAATCACTGACTACAATCCACAAATTTTGGGAGATCCATAGCTCAAAATTCTGAGTTTTTTTTGCTCAGAGTCCATGCTTTCTAGGGCTGCAACTAATGATTATTTTCATAATCATTAGTTGGCCGATTTTTATTTTTTCGATTTAATTGGATAAAAAAATACCATCGTTTATTTAACATTAAATACACAAATCGAATCTTACAAATAAAGTTTACTTCAGAATAAAACAGCATGCAATTTTTTTGCACTTGTGCTGCACTTGATGGATGGCATGGCATTGCAGTACTGTGTGTTCCTGTGCAGGTGATCACATTGCAGGCAGGAGGTGCATTAATGGTACCACAGAGCACATCCCGGAGCAGAATTTTCAGGCACAAAACCAAAAATGACACTTGCCACCATATACATGTATTTATTAGCCTGGTCATCAGTTTAGAGTTAGCCATGAATATTGGACCGAGAATGATTGCTCTGGCACAATTTGGCAATCTGGCAATTTTCTATATAGGTGCACCCGACTTGTGTTTCTATTGGTATGCTCACGTTCCTGGGGTTGGGGGACTTTACTTTGTTGGGAGAGTATTTTTAATTTTATTTTCTATTATTTTTACCATATTTTTTTACCTCATTGCTATTACATGGTGGGGCTCACAAGCCTCTTATGTGATAGCAGATTGGAGGCGACAGGTTCTCTGCAAGGTGACATTACGGGTCTTTTAGATCTTTCCACTTCACTGGGGAATGACAGCTGCCTGCTGAGGCAGCTGAATGTCAACACATGCAGTGGCTCTGACCAGCCTGCTATTGGCTATTTTAAATTGCAATAGCAGACTGGGTATTTCACCCACCCTGCCTGCTCTCAATCAGCAGAGGAGGAACTGAAGGAGAAAGTTCTCCTTCTGGTCCTCCTCTGCTGATTGAGAGTAGGTGGGTGCAATAGCCAGCCTGCTATTGCAATTTAAAATAGCCAATAGCAGGCTGGCTATTGTTAGCAGCTGCTGATTTTGAGACTTGATGACGGCTTTCTACCGCCGGCAGAAGAGGAACGAGGGGCACCAGTGGGGAAACGCAGAGACACAGCGGTCTCTCCTCCCCACTGGTGCTGGCTGCAGCGGTCTGTGTCCCCGCTGACGATAAAGGCGGGGAGAGCAACGGGGTTTATAAGGGACATAGATCGCTGTTGCCGCCACCAGCAGTTAGGAGAACGGAGAAGCAGAGTGGCGGCAGCTGTGGATTCAACTAATTGAACCAACCAATCAGCTGACAACGATTCTCATCGATTTAATCGATTAGTTGTTGCAGCCCCAATGCCTCCTTTATCATCTCTTCCAACCCTGAAGAAAGTGGTTGTGTCTGCCCCTTGAAACACCATTGGCTGTTTGATCATCAAAATTATTAAACTTTTTTTTTTTTTTCATTGACTTTGACATTTGTTTTGGTCTTGTGTTCTTTTTTATGTCTTTGAAGTTTAAGCAGGATGGCTTCTCCTATTCCCAACAGCTAAATAGAGTGGTGTAGGTGCCGTTCTCAGCTTATATGTGCAGCCGAGTAGGTGTTATTAATGTGAACATGTTGCTTTGTCACCCATTTATTTATGTTTTTGTATACTTCCAAACAGAAAACGGTTCCAATAAGAAGACTCCTCAGTTGCTGTCTAAGTGCAAGTCATGGGACATTAATTCTCCATCCAGAGATGCAGAGCAACATCATGAAATATTTTGGGATCCCAATTCACCGACTTGTTTTAAACTAGGTAACACTACATTAATAATTGTATTGATGTACACTGTTTCAAATAGAGCTGCAGCTAACGATTATTTTCAAAATCGATTAGTTAGCCGATTATTAAGTTCGATTAATCGGATAAAAAAATAAAATACATTTTAAAAAATGGCTCCAGTGATAGCACTACTAGTTTGTATTGAGATTGTAGTCCGTCACAGGAGCAAGCTCGGAGCGGTGGAAGTAAAAAAGAAAAAGTGTGGTGTGCAATATAGTGAAATGAAAAGTGTAAAATTATACAGCAATGAATGCATAATGGCAGCGGCTATAGAGGACTACAAAACCCAGCAATAGTACATTATACAGCAGAACACCACCAGCTATAGAGGAATACAACAAATCCCAGATATATTCTGCATTGCGCTATATAATGTACTATTGCTGGGTGTTGTAGTCCTCTATAGCTGGTGGTATTCTGCATTGCGCTGTATATTGTATTATTGCCGGGATTTGTAGTCCTCTATACAGCACAATGCAGAATACCACCAGCTATGTAGGAATACTACAAATCCCAGCACTACATTATACATAGAGTGTATAATGTACTGCTGGGACTTGTCCTCTATAGCTGATGGTATAATATACAGCACAATGTACCATCAGCTAATGAGGAATACAAATCCCAGCAATACATTATAGAGCACCATGTGTGGGAAAGTGCAGGCTTACCTGAGCAGTCTTCCAGCAACTTGCTTCTGAGATCAGGCCTGTCTATCGACGGCTGTCACCCCACCCCCCACACCTGCTCCTTACTTCTCCCCGCGTCCCTGTGCCGATCGTGGATGCGGGCGGGGAGGATTCGGGTGGGCGGGTCTGGCAGCTGCGAGCGTGAGGTGGGGAGGACGTGTGGCGCGCAGCTTGTGTGGAGCCGTGAACAGGGCCAACTAATCAGAGACCGATTAATCGATGATTGAAGAAGTTGACAACTTTTTCAATAATCGATTATGTCGATTAGTTGTTGCAGCCCTAGTTTCAAAGAATGACTTGTTTGGTGACACTGCTGTGCATAGAGTGTATGTGAATGGGTAGTTGATTACAAAAGTCTGTACATGCTTTCTTCAGTCTAATGCATAACATCAGAATTGGGTCTTATCTGCCAGTTTTCAGCAGAAGTGAAACAGTCATTGCAACATGAGCCCTGGGGGGGGAGGAGGGTGGGGTGTCTGCTGCTGATTCTATGTTGCAGGAAGGATCAGTGGGCAAATCTGATAAAATTTGTTTTTGGAAACACTGAGATTGTTAAATGTAGGCCATGAGAGTAATCACAATATCTTCAGAGTATAGTTTTTTGTTTGTTTTTTTTTTTTTTACTTGCTTGGTTATTGTCCAGTTTCAAGGGAGTAAACATTGTGTGTATCAATGATCATTCCAAAGGACAACTAAGCAATAGGATTCCTCTCTCTTCCTTGCTTCAAAATCCTGTTTTATTTTCACATTGGTGAGTTACTGTACTGATACCAGCAGCTCTGTACAGACCCAGAATTTCACTCAGTGAGCCACTCAGAAGATGCACGTCTTGGGGTTTAGATCACAAACCCAAGTATCATTTACACCATTATGCCATCTTACCAACAATTTGTTTCTCCTGGACTTCTCTTTTTTATTTATATTGCTCTTTTTTTACTGATATTCTTCTTCTTCTATATTTTCCCAGACAATGGAAGAAAAAAGACGGCAAGCAAATGTATTGTTGAGATTTCAGATATTGTCAACAGAATTGCTCCAAAGGTAACACAGCAAATGTAATTCGTAACTCCAAACTCGCTTATTAAATATTGGTCAGAGAAAACCAAGAAGTACAAATGATTAAAGCAGGGGTAGGCTACCTTGGCACTCCAGCTTTGGTGACACTACAAATCCCATCATGCATTTGCCTCTGAGAGTCATGCCTGTGGCTGTTGGATTCTTGCAATGCCTCATGGGACTTGTACCAATCAGCATCTCTTTAAAGTTTGCTCAGGTAAGATTTGAAAATAAGACGGAGAAGCTGATTGGTTGCAGTGCAAATCTGCTCCAGATTTTGTCTGCTCCAGTTTAGATACATTCCCCCAACAGTGCTTTATAGCGTAAGTTCACTTTCCCAAGTAATTTGAAGAAAATATAATAATCTG